AATCTTAGCCCTCCATTCAGAATGGAGGGTTGGATAAGGAGAAATATATAAGTTTTATGCTGTAGGGGAAGAAGAGAAAACTTGCCCATATATATATAAGGAAAAGTTTATATAAGGCTGCAATCTTAAAACATATATATATATATATATATATATAAGAGTGTTTGCTTTTAATAGAGACCGTTTGCTTTTAATAGAAAAATATACAAAAAGAATGTTTCCTTTTGATACAAGGAGGCCATAATCATTATTGTCTATCCCATTTCAGGCAATTAAGTGTGTCATTGACTATGCCAGAAGTTCATAAAAGAATTTTTCGAAATGTGGCGTTTAGAGCAAAAAAAATATCACGAACTCTAATTATCTAAAAAGATTGTAAGCATGAGGCTTTTGAGCTATTACTTATAATTGGTTTTTTATGTTTATTTCTTTATGCAGGAGGAAAATACAGATTCCCATCGTTATTTCCTCCTATTTGGAGGAGGAATAAGACAATGCCCGGGAAAAGAACTGGGCAAAGTGGAAATTGCTGTGTTTCTTCACTATTTTGTCACAAGATACGGGTTAAGACTCTTTATCTCCTCATGGGTTTGAATATCTGCTAAGTATTTATTTTCCCTGATTATTCTTGAATTCAATGTCAAAAATTTAATCTATATATCTTTGTCAAACTTTAACTTAATTATTTGTCAAATAGGAATATTTTGAAAATATATATGATGTGACTATTTACTTTTGGTACAAGAATATCATAATTATTGTCAACTATTGGAATGTAAAATCGGATGGGTCATGATTCGTCACTAATTGAGCACAAAGTACAAAACAAATTTTCTCGAAAGCTGTGATAAGTTTTAATATGTTAGATTTCGCATCCAATGATTAAGAAAAGTTGTGACCTTCCTATATAAAAAATAAATGGTCTCATAGCATATAATCCCGAATATTTTTAGGTATCCCACATGTTGATTTATTTTGTTATGGAATTAATTACTAATCCAATTATTCTTTTCAGGTGGGAGGAAATTGATGGGAATAAAATACTCAAGTTTCCAAGAGTTGAAGCTCCAAATGGGCTCATAATTAGAATCTGGGAGCGTTGATCCTCCTTTGTGTTACACATCCATTGGCATAATAACTATTTCTTTACCTTATTTTCTCCATCTTTTTTCAAATTTTTTTTGTTTTCATAAATATGCCATTTATAATAAAGCTAATGAAAGAAAATTAGCTCCACACTTTTGTTTCTTCATTTTCCATGTCATTTTCTTTAGCAAATGTTTCTGGAGTACTGATCAAGAGCCCCTATGGAAATTTCGGGTCAGGGCCTTCATTAAAATCAAGTTTTCATGTATATCAACAAATTAGTCCTTTGTTCTCGCTTATTGGAAAATGGTGTAAATTTGCATGTGTTTTACTAAATTGTATTGGGATTGTATACAATGAGACTATTTACCTTTGGTGTACGGAGGTCACAATTATTTAAAACTATCTGATATGAAATCTGATAGCTTCGGTGCGTCACAAAGTTCGAGAATTTTTTTTTGAATTTTGAGTTTGGTCAATGAAATAATGCATCTACCCAAATTCATAACCAATAGTCAAATTAATTGTGACTACCTTGTATCAAAGGTAAATGGTCTCATTATATATTTTTCCAATTGTATTAGATATTTGAGTTGATATCAAAATAAAGTCTTCAGATATATGCAAGGATGCAATTTACATGCCACCAAGCCCATACATGTAGAAATGTGGGCTTGGCAATAAATATATTTTTTAAATATAATTTGATCCTAATTTTTAGAGAATATATGATCTTTAACAAAAAATCATGAATATGAAAAAAAAATTGAAATTAGAAATAATTATATTAAGAAAACATTTGGACCATTAATTACAATTGTTTTTAGATGGACCACCTATTTGCATCAATTTTTAAAATGGATGCTTTATACCTCCAGATCACATATTATAGAAATGCTATACAACCCGTATGAAACAATTTTTCCATATCTAAATACCAACAATAGGTTCCATGTTGTCTCGACCTTCTATAATGAACAATGGCAGGTAAAGATGATTCCACTCAATTGTGTCATTGTCCACTCAAGCATAGGGCATCTCTTCACTTGTTGAGGATAGATAGTTGAGATTATAGCGATCAAGACCAGACCAAACTAGTGGTCCGACCGGTTGGATAGCCAATTGGTTCTTTGGCTGGTATTGTTTAAGGTAAAAGCCAGATTCAGTAAAAAAACCTCTCAAACCAATGTTTCACTCCCTTTGTAAAGTCCGACTAGCTCATTTAAACTAACTTGTCTAGCTAAATGAAGTTGGTCAAGTTTTTAATGCATCTACATTTTCAAATTAATACACCTATTTTTTTTCTTTTTTTCGAAAATCTGGTTCAATCGGTTAGACTAGTGGTTGTACCAGTTTTGAATTGACCAAACTCACCAATTTGTTGGTTGGCTGGTTCATGAAAACACAGTTTGAGCTGCCGCATTACTTTACACAAGATACTCTTCAACATAGTCCAAATTGGACCGGAATAGTGTTCCAACCAATTATACCCGTGCATTCCAAAGTAAAAGATGCGATTGATTAAAGACAGTCAAAACTAATATTTGACCAGTTTTGTCCTATTTAGCTGACTTTTTTTAACCCGTTACACTAGTCGAAAAATTTGGCCACCTTTTCGTAATGTATTTCACATTTTTAAACTATTATTTGAATTTTAGTTATATTTTGAGGATCATGTCTAAACATTAACTATTAGTCTACCTAGTTTTGACTAGACAAGACCCCTAATTATTTTCGTGACGAGCGTGTTGCTCTTCAATGACTTAAAAGAGCATGTTGTACTCCTTGTGGACCACACCATACAATTACTACATATAGCAAGAACACAATTGTGGATGAATTTCTCAAACATAAAAATTTGGGATCCACCATAACATCACCAGATAAGTATTTTAAAAGGAAAAATAAAATGAGGTCCTTAATGATTAGATTTGATTGTCCAAAAATAACCTTAGTTGAAAATTAAGGTGGTACGTTTATTAGGCATATATAAAATGTAGGCATATATAGAATAATTATAAAATTCATTTTATTAAAATGGAGGAAAACATTTACATAGAGCCAAGGCTCTAAACAATCTAATTAGAGCCCGACTCAAAAATTTCACGAGAAGAGGTTGTTTTGATGTCCAAATATTTTCAAATTGATCACCTCGATATAAAGATACATGGACATGAGAAAAAAAATGCATTTCAAGTTATAGAAATAGTACATATGGTAATGCATTTTGGACCATCAACTTTAGAGATTTTAAAGTTTTTATAGATATGCTCAATCTACACTATTTTTTACGCTTTAAATTTTATAATTAAAGATGAAAATATATTTAGTGTTGAAACTGCATTTCTTAATACTATTTGAAGGTGAGCTTTACTTTGATTGTTTCGAGCCTCGGCTCTATACAAACCGCACCTTAAAATTAATATTTAGGGTCATAGACGTCACATCCCAAAACTTGAAGTTCTGAATATATTCTTAAAAGGGCGTGATTTGCATAACATTGAGGCTCTAAACAACCAAAATAAAGTGCACTTTGAAATAGTGTCGAAATATATTGTTTGAGTATTGGAAAATTGTGATGGCCTGAAAATTTACTTTCACCTTTAAATATAAAATTTAAGGCTTAAAAAATAGTGTGCATCAAGTAGTTTTACGAACATTTGAAAATCTTAAAAATTGATGTTCCAAAAAATGCATTACAAGATGCTAAGACTTGAAATCTATTTTTTCTCATGTCCATACATCTTGAGGTCAATATCATCTATTTAAGGATTTTTGAACATCGAAACAACCTCTTCTAGTCAATTTTTGAGGTGCTTCTTAGAAAGAGGTGCTCATGGCTAAAGAATAATTTAAACTAAAAGAATCCAAGATTCAGTTCACCAAACAATGCCACATACAATGTGATGCCATATTGTTAACTCCTTGGTAAAAAGAGAAATTGGGCTTTCTATTCATCTGAATTTCATTTAGTCAATAATCTCAATTTCCAACGAAGTATGGAACCCCTCCTTGTCCTAATTCATGTGGCATGTTTTCTCTTGACTACATGATTCTCTAAGCTTAAGCATTGCACTTGCTTTAGACTGCTGTGAGGTGCTATTGGGCTTGAAGGTTAACCTCCATAAGATTTCTTTGATAGGAATTAACTGCTCTTCAGCGATGACTCTATCTTTAGCAAAGTGTTTGGGTTGCTCTGTGGGCTCTTTCCCCTTCGCTTATCTGGAAATGCCACTCTCTTATTCTAGGCATTCTATTGCAATTTGGGACAAGGTGCTAGAGAGAGTCCAAGTAAACTTGGATCTGTGGAAGCCGAAATACCTATCTATTGGTGGAAGGGTGACTTTGTTAAATTTACCAATCTATTTGATGTCTCTTATTCAGATGCCAGCAACCCCGATTAAGAAAATTGAAAGAATGGTGTGTAATTTTTTGTGGAGATCTTTTGGGGAAGAAATGAAGTTTTATCTTCTTAGGTGGGATCGAGTTTGTACCCCTAAGAGTGAAGGTGGTATTGGCATAAAAAAGATTAAATATATGAATGAGGCTTTGCTTTGCAAATGGTGGTGGAGAAACTTTCGATTTATATATCAGCTTTGGTATCAGGTGTTGTCTTCGAAATATGGTCTGGATAAGCAGGGTATATGGATAGGAGGGGTAGAAATACAGAGTTGTCTTCTTTGTGGAAGTCTATTTACAAGTGCATGCTGATGATTGTAAGTTATTTTTGTTGGAGTGTGGGATGTGGTGATACATCTCGTTTTAACATCATAAGTGGATAGGTTTATCCGCAACTCTTCGTTAAGGTCTCGCAACTTAATGCTAAGATTTCGGATATGGTTGAAGGGAGAGGTAATCGTGCTGCTTGGACTATTAATTTTCCATATAATAGGTTGAGTGAAGAGGTTTATCTTCAATGGAATGACTTGATGGATATTTTGGACTTGACTTATATTTTACAGGGGGCATTGGATGAAGTAATTTGAGAAGTTGAATGCAATGGGGTTTTCTCGAACAAGCCTTGTTAAAGGCTTTTTTTCCATGATCGTTGGAGATGGTCTTTATCTGTTGTCGCCAAAGTGTGGAAATGGCCTATCCTCATAAGGTGTAGGTTTTTTTGTAGTTAGCTATCTAAAATAAAATTTTGACGGTGGACAATTTAATTAAGAAGGGCAAAATCCTACCCAACATTTGCTTGATGTGTAAAGCGGATGAGGAATCCAGCGATCATCTTTTTATCCGCTGCCATGTTGCTTTTAGAATTTGGTATTGGTTGTTTGGGCTTCTTGGGGGTTCATGCTTCACTTCCTCGATCAGTATTGGGCTTAGTGTCTCATTTAGCCTTTAATCATCTACTTTCTGTAGGTGTTTTGGTTTGGCAAATAATGAGAGGGGCTACTCTTTGGAAACTCTGGAAAGAAGGAAATAGGCGGATGTTTGAAGATAATAGTCTCTCTTTTGACAAATTGCTTAGTAATGTCAAACTGTCTATTTGGTCTTGGTTCTCGGTTAATAAAAAGGGTTGGGGTATCTCACAATCTGATGTTTTGTTGAATTTTCCAAACCTGTTTTTGATGGGTAGAATTAAGATGAGACCAAGGTGTATTTGGGTGGAACCAGAGTGTAGGGATTTTAAGTTAAATTTCGATAAGAGCTTTGTAGGTAATCCAGGTTTGGCTGGTGTTAGGGGTGTGGTTCATAACTGTTTTGAAAAGGTCATCTTCTCATATGTTGGCCCTATTGGTGTAGCCATTGCTAACCAAGTAGAGTTATTGGCACTGTTGCAAGGGATTAAATTTTTTACTGCTAGAAATTTGGGAGGTAATTGCATCATTGAAGGGGATTATTTGAATGTTATTAAATGGAACAAGAAGGAGCAGCGTATTCCTTGGGAGCTAAGGTCTTCTTGTCTACAGATTATGGACCTGGTGGCTTCTTTTTCAATCACGTTCTACCATGTCTATGGTGAGGCGAGTTCCTTGGCCGACACTCTGGCTAAAGGAGGGGCCACTTTGCCTGCTCTTTATTTCCACTGATGTAATTTTCATTGAGTAGATTTCTTTAATATAGTAAGAAACATTTGTCAAAAAAAAAAAAAC